GTTGTCATCATTCTTTGTTAGATCAGGTCTCTCTTGTAAATGAGTCCCTGAGGCTCAATGGGATTAATCTGTCTAAATGAAGGTTGAATGAATGAATGAACAGAAGTTTAACTGGAGTCCTGGTCATGAAGATCTGCACTGGGCAGTATACGAGAAATGTTTTTATACACGCTTATCATCACGATGACCTCGGCCTCTCAGCTCACAGACTCGGAGACGACCTTGGACATGAACATGCTGCTCCTCTCTGAGAGGAAAACAACTCTCTGAACTCACATGGTTCAACATTAATTTAACAATAGCAGTGATAATCATCCATAAACCTTTAACAAAATTCCCCTGACAAGTGCAATACTGTGATATGTGCAGAATGACTCAGTTATGAGCTCATCAAGTTTTAGCTCACGATCTGTAAAAATACCTGAGTTAGAGCTACCTTTGTCGAGCAGATGCACACACACTAACACAGAGAACAACATATCACCCGCTGCCACAAAGGGAAAGCAAATAAAAAAATTCCTACTGCAGAGCCGCCTGCCAGTTTCAGTTCCTTTAGTTCTAGTGTTCAACGTTTGAGTTTGGTGAATCAAAGACATGCACGTTGGACTGACTGGTAACTCTAATTGTCCCTAGGTGTAAGTGAGAGAGTGAATGGTTGTTTGTCTGAAGGACTGTAGACCTGTTCAGGGCGTCCCCTGCTCCTCACACAAAGATGGCTGGATATGGGCACCAGTGACCCCCATGGCTCAAAGAAGTGGGTAAAAGATAATGGATGGATGGATAGACAAAAAAAGTGAATATTTTTGATCAGATTTGCTCTGCTGAAATGCATCACTGCATGTACCCAGAGTGTGCAGGTCTGACAAATGAAGAACAGGTATTAGATACTGGATAATCTCTCAGGTGAGGGTTCTGTGCTGCAGCGCACAGAAATTTATGTCCCAATATTGTTGCTCGGTGTGTAATAAGAGCTGCATACTGGACACACTGAGGAGCACGCGAGGTGAAGTCACTTTGTCATGCTGCTCTGCGGCCCACTAAAACAGAACACCAATGTTACTGTATGAAGATTACAAGAAAACAAAAGGTCTAATGAATGAAAGCGCGTGAGTGAACAGACCTGCACAAACACTGGTAGATCCAGCAGATTTTTATTCACACAGTACAGAAAACATCTCTCTCCTCCTGGTTATTTGTTTCTTTTTAATTAAAAATATCCCCATTACTGTCATTAAGACATGGGAGTACATGCAGATGTGTAGCGGATCAGTCATAAAGCAGTCCTCACATGCATCGTGTACCAGCAGCTCATACAGAGACCAGCTCAAAGTTGGACTGTTTTCCCCAGAGACCTAATTGTGTCCAAACTGTGAGGCTGCGTGGTGGTCCGCCGCTGCTTCCTGCTGCTGCCACAGGACCACCTGGAGCCCAAAGGAGGTCTGGACCTCCACCATGATGGTAAAGACAGAACACCAGTGACTCGGGGACATGACATGTAAATGAACGACATTAATCTGTGATCAAAACGCTCTAGTGAGCAATTTTTTTTTTTTTATGAAGAGCTCAAAGTGTGGCTCAGCTTGGCTGCTGAAGAACTTGTCATTAAAAATAAATCTCAAACGAGGATCCATGAAGTAAAAAAAACTGCTGACGTAAATCAAGAGCAGTGTCGAACAAGCTGCAGAAAAGTGTCTCATGTTTACGTCTCGCTGTCAATAAATATTCTTTATAATCAGTCTGTGTGGCATGACAACGAGTTTTCTAAGAAAATTATATCATTTTCATGCCTGCGAACAGCGATTGCATGTCTGCCGTTCAAAACTTAAAGGGACATGTCAAACATTTTTAAGTGGAGTGGAGTTTTTTGTGTACAGTAGTCCCTCGCTACTTGGCAGTTCGTTTTTCGCAGACTCGCTCTATCGCAGTTTTTCAAAATAAGATTGGACATGACACAATTGGCTGATTGATGAGCTGCATGATAGGCATGGATTTTTTTTTTATTTAAAATTAATTATTTTAAATTATTTAGCACCTACTGCACCTGTGTGCAGCCCACACTGCCGGATAACCTTTCTCGTGCAGCTCCTCCTCCCTCCTCCTTCCTCCTCTGTGAATCAACATTGTGCAGTGGAGAAGTGGGCGTGGCCAAGAGTGCAGAGAGCAGCCGTGGCAGAGAGCTGAGATCATGACATTGTGCTCTTTTAGAACGTTTAGAGTTTAGAAACATTGTTTAGAATATTACTAGAGTGTGGGAAGGGTTCAAAATGCCTTTATATACTATATATATATATATATATATCCATCCATCCATCCATTTTCTTTACCCGCTCATTCCATTTTGGGTCACGGGGGTCGCTGGTGCCCATGTCCAGCAATCACTGTGCGAGGGGCGGGGTACACCCTGGACGGGTCGCAAGTCCATCACAGGGCCACATAGAGACAAACGACACAAACAACCATTCACTCTCTCACTCACACTTAGGGACAATTTAGAGTTACCAATCAGCCTAACATGCATGTTTTTGGTCTGTGGGAGGAAACCGGACTACCCGGAGAAAACCCACACATGCATGGAGAGAACATGCAAACTCCACCCAGAAAGCCCCCTGGACCGGGGTTCGAACCAAGGACCTGCTCGCTGAGAGGCAGCAGCTCTACCAGTTGCGCCACCGTGCTGCCACTGAGGGTGATGTAAAAGGTTATGAATTAGCAGTCACATGAATTTCAACGACAGTTTGGACGCTGGAGCTGGTCTCTGAAGCACCAATCCACTTTGGTCTTAGTCCCTCTCGGACTAGCCATTAGCTTGTCAGTCCCTTTTGGTGAATTTCATGTACCGTAATTTCCGGACCATAAGCCGCTACTTTTTTCACAGGCTTTGAACCCTGCAGCTTATACAATGCTGCAGCTAATTTATGTTTTTTAATTTTTTTTAAGGGCTAATGAGCTTCCTTCACCAAAACATTTAGCCTGGTCACACCCGGGCGCTCACAGAGCTGCCCAGTACATGTCCCTCTTGTGGGGTGGGTCAATGAGACTACCTGTATGAATAAAGGTAAAAAATAAATAATCAGACTTGAAAACATTCTTGAAGACTGGGTGAACACACAGAGAGCAGAAGGCCGAGGTGTTTCCACCATGCAGATCTGACTGAAAGCCAAAACAATCACCAATTCAATCCAATTGTGACACTGAAGAAGACAACTTTAGCTGTTTTACTGTGCAGGAGGAAGATTAACATAGCAATCATTGACTTTTCCTGGTAGGCTACTGTATTTATTTATTTTTTAATTTGCTCTGTTACAGGTTCTGTTCAGTCTAAAACATTGACTGAATGTATCTGTGTATGTTACCGGTATGTATTTAATTAAAAGTTTAAAAACTCTTTCTGTGTAAATATGTCATGTTACAACATGGACAACTGCGGCTTATACACAAGCGCAGCCTATATATGTACAAAATTAATATTATTATTTTATTTATTTAGTGTGCACAGCTTATATTCGGGTGTGCTCAATAGTCTGGACATTACGGTATTTTAAGTTCATAAATTGTCACATTCAAAGTTTTAATGCAACTGTCAGAAGTGGCTCTCCTTCTCTTTACACCTTCGACAGTGACACTCCAAGTTGTTTCCAACAGTGTGTTTCCAGTCAGAGTGCTTGTTTTTACAAATTACCTTCCTAGCCAAGAAAAAAAAAAGCAAAAGAAAACAATTAAGCTCTAATGTTTGTTTCTGCCGTTGTAGTTCATTTTGAAAAGAATTTAAAGCAGAAAGTGTGGTCATAAGTAAGCTAAGCTTTATGTTCATCCTCCCTTTATGCTGATCCACTGGACTGATGAAAAGGAAGCCATATAAAGATCCTCTTCATGCAGATTTAGAGTACACCTCCCCGTTCCTGAAGCGTCTACTTCACTAGAAAAAATTTCAGCTACGAGACTTGGGGGTACATTCAAAGAAAAAGAAAAATTACTAACAACTCGACGAGTGTTTTGGCTGAAAATGCTCATCCTTGGTTCTATCACGCTAATTTAATTTCTCTAAACTGGTTATTCAATTATCTATCTACAGCAGGTAAGATGTTAATGATTCATAACCTTTCAATTACCTTAATTTTGAAATGATCAAAGCATTGCTTTTAAATTGTTGTTATAAAAAAATGAAATCTTTTATTTCCACTGTAAAAGCACTTTGAATTGCATTTGACTTGTATGAATGGTGCTATAAAAATAAAGCTTGATCAAATAATTGATTGTTTTTTGTTTGTTTGTTTGTTTTTTGCTGTGCTCAGATACATGTAGATGTATTTTTACAGAGGCTGCAAAAATGTGCTTCAAAGCCTCTGGGAATTCATACAGAAAATGTCAAAATCACACCAGTGACAGAGCTCATCAGTGGCTTTAAACAAAGACGTCTGCTTTTTTAAAATTTCTAACAGAAACTTTGCATGACTCTGACAAATAATTTCCAGCTAAACTCCGGTCTGTAACCGATTGTTGCTTGGTGATGTGACAGCAGCATCTTCACAGGGCGGCAGCATCAGCACCACACTGTACATACATGTGTGCCTGCGGTGCATCGGGGCAGAAAAAGTGATGCAATAAACTTCTGGAAACCAACTGAGGCTCAAACGTACAGCTCTGGAAACAAACACGAGAATTAAAGGGAAGTTTGATGCTTTGAAACTTTATAGATCACATTATTTCTGCCCCTTTTAACTTTGTCAGCCATGTTCAAGCATTTTGTTTTATTAAATTGACTTTCTATGCCTAATGTGTTGAGTTGTTGTATACAAGTAAATAACTTTTAAATAAATGTAAGGGACATTAGATCTAACAGTGGCTGCTGTCCAGATAAATTGTTCTGTTTTCATCTAAATTTGAACAAATCTCAGTAAAAATAAATGTTAGAAGCAGATCCTGATGCACAGTTATTAGTCATTACATGGTCATGCCGGGTTTAAAACCTTTAACTCCATTCCTAAATCAGAATAACTCACCTTGACAGCAGATCCCGTCAGTTGAACGTAGACTCCAGTGAGTGTCAGAACGTGGACAGTGAGCCGCCCCCAGCTCCTCTCAGGCTAAACGTTCCAGTCAAGTTTGGAGAAATAAAAGTACTTCTGCGCCAAATTCTTCCGTTCCTGCCGCTTGTAGTACAGTTACCATCTGTTGTGCCTGTGCGCAAAGGAGCTCTGCGTGAGGAGGAGAGAGGAGGAGAGAGGAGGAGAGGATGGGAGGGGGGAGAGGAGGGGGTCCAGAGCGCAGCCAGCAGTGGAGAGGAGAGCTCTGAAAAACTGTCTAAATATCATAAAGTTAAACGTACTCTGCAAAAATCTTGTCAAAGAATCAGAATGCATTTATTTGATTTATTAAAAAGTTAGCCTCCACCAAAAGGTGCATCGCTGGCGATAATGTATTTGCCTGTATGTGTGTGTTTGTCTGTTAGCAAAAAATATCATAAAAGACTAGATGGATTTTGTTAAAAACTCCCAAGATGTAATCATTGGGTGTAAATCTGCGACTGATAAATATCTGGACTGGACTCAAGATGGCTGCCACAGCCAACTGATTGTAGAAGACATAAAAAGATTAGAACGCAGTCAGTTGTATATATTTTGATTTGAAACTTGATGTGGTAGATGCAGCTGATCTGCAACAAAAATTCTGAGCATAAACAGATTGCACAAGACTTACTTAAAAAAAATCCAACATCTACCGTATTTTTCGGACTACAAGGCACATTAAGCGAAACAAAACTGTCAGATAAGTCAAACTTTATTCAACTCCTTCACAATAACCATATAAAATTGGGTTGAGGTTAGTACAACCAAAGTTAATACTTAAGGCTCACTGTCGATTTTTGAAAAAAATAAAGGATTTTAAGTGCTCCTTATTTTTGTTGAAAAATACAGTAATTACAATCAACTCAGTCAGTCTGTTTGCTGAACCACTGGTTCAAATTCAGTGATGCTTTCAGGAAAAATAAATCACAAGATCTACACCTACAACTTCTCACTCTTTAAAGTAATCCAAATTCAAGATGGCTGCCTCAGCTAAAACAAGGACAGTACCATGTCAGACAGTTTTATAGAGCTACAATTTGAAGTGGTAGTAGCTGAGAGTCATTCACAGCAGATGCCTGAACGATGATCTGATTAGCACAATGTTATTTTTAAGGTTTGCCCAAAACGGCTTCAACGCTGTCATTTCTCAACATGAGATGATCTAAACCATCAGCAGTGGCATTAAAGACATTGAGCAATTTTCATTCTTTTCAAGAAATGTTAGGTCTTCATTTAACACGAGCAGTTCTGTTGAATGATTTGGTCAGAATGAGAAGAAGCTGCAGCAGGTTCTGCGTCTTCATGTATAATGAAAAGAAACGAGAAGCAAACTCCTTGCTCTGAAAGTATTGTCTGACAGACAGTCGAAGCTGGCCTGCTGGTGTAAATCATTTAAAGCTGAATACGATTAAACAGTATTTCTTTGAGAGGCAAAAACTATGGAAGCCAACAGAGGACATGTTTATAATGTAAATAAACAAAAAAGTGATGTAAGGTTGACAACTGATTCAAGCTGAAAATGTCACATCAAGAAACACCCATCACTGATCAATACGTCGCTGTTATCAATATTTCCACACATCGTGTCTCGTTTTGTTCGACGTGTGTTTAGATTTCAACTCAAATTAAGTGTGATAGTAGCCGAACGTCTACCACATCATATACTGCAAGTTGTACACATTGTGTGCAATATTTGCATAAAATTTCATCTGTAAATGTTGGACTCAGCCCTTTTTGCTGTAAGCAAAATATCTCATGCACCGCTGCATATGCTTTAATGAAGCTCTTAGAAATCATCAGTGTGTGTGTGTGAATAATGCTGCTCTGGTCATCTGTTTTCCTACTCGTGTGCCCTTTTTAAATCTTTTAGATTTATGCTCCATATCTTTTTTTGATTGCAGTTACTTATTTCTTGCTTTAATTTGGCATTGTCTCCTGCTTTTGTTAGTCATTAAAATGTTGTGATTCCTTCTACCTCCAGCCCACCCTTTGGGTTTTCACCAACTGTTCATATTGTGAGACTATATGGAAATAATGAGAGCAAGGGGGAAAAAAAATAAAAACACGAGTAGGAATTTGTAAACACGGTGCACACAGGAGATGTAAAACTTACCATTAAACAGTAAAAATGTATGCACAGGCAACCTAAAATACATTTTTGTACAAAGTGCTTTGAACTCGCACATAAATCCTGAAGTCTTAAAATGTAAATGTATGCAAAATGAAGCGCACATTTACATTCACACACATTTAGGTGATGACTGTGTCCTAACATTATACAAATCTATACTTCTGAGTGCATCAATGTGGCATTTCTGTTCTGCATTTACATGATTTGAACCTTTGTAAAATCTGGTTTCTGATTCATAAACAAAGGGTTACTCTGTGTCTTTGTCACTGCCTCTTTATTTAATATGAGCTTTAGTTTTGACAGCATATATTCCAAGCAGTCAAACAGTTGTGGCAATGTTTTTTTCTTCTCTCCAGCAAATGTAATGAGGTGGTGGCATAAATCTCTCCATCTCTAAGGTTTCCTTGTAAGAGTGAAAAAACACTTTAAACAGCCAAATCAAGCATCGGAGTAGATTTTTTTCTTTCTGGTATTCTGCGACTTATAGAAACCCCCTGAGGGTCCTCGTGTCCACACACATTACAGATGAAGCATGAAGAGAAAGACATAGTGTACATACAATCAGGGACTGGAAACAGAGGATGCTCATGAAGGGAGGCAGTCAGAGAGCAGATGGTTTTCTCTCAGTGTGACAGAATTAAAAAACACGATGCCCTACATCTTCACAGCGATAAAATCAAAGGTCTAAGGAACCCAGTTGGTGTTAGACAATTTGTAATATCAACATTTCTAGATCAGGACTTGTCCAGAGACACGACTACAAAATTTCACAAGTCCCACTTACCACTGGATCAAGCTCAACTCCAGTGTTTCTGCAGAGCATCATCCTCTCCTGTGTCTATCAGCGCTGTCAGTTTCTTCTTTTTGCACCTTCAACTTTTACTGTGGAACAAACGGATGTGTAGTCTGAGAGGACGTGAAAAGTGTGAATAGTGTCTCACACGTTAGTGATGAAAGTCAACCAAAGTGCACTGTACATGTAAAATGAATTTAGTTAGCAGATATAAATGGATAACTTGCAGGTTAGTGGTTGCCTTCACAGCTGGAATTCTGCAGGTTCAAACCCTGACTTTGCTAAACCCCAAGTCACTGTCCTTTAACAAAACACTGAACCACATGTTGCGATCCAACAATGTTCAATCAGGTCATCTGGACAGTTTCTTTTATTCTTTTTTTTTTGTTGAGAGACATTTCACCCTCCATCCTAAGGGCTTCATCAGTCTGAGAAGTCCCGAACGAACTGTTTTCCTCACTAAGCAGTACACTCCTTTAGTGGAGAAACTGATGTCAGAAACCGTTCAGATGACCTGATTGAACACTGTTGCATGTTTTACCTGGATGACTGAGCATGAACTTTGATGTCTTGAACCACTTTGGCTGTGTTGCCAGGGAGGAGTTGACAGGGGAGACCCCCAGAAACCATCTTATCTCCAGCAAACTGGTTGGTCCACTGTAGGAGTGTACTGCTTAGTGGGGAAAACAGCTTGTCTGGGACTCCTCAGACTGATGAAGCCCTTTGGATGGAAGGCGAAACGTCTCTCTCAAAAAAAAAAAAAAAGAAATTGTCCAGATGACCTGATTGAACATTGTTGGATGTTTTACCTGGATTACTGAGCATGAACTTTGATGACACACGTTGCAATCTTTTGGTTTGTCACTTGTAAACTACCTTCATTTAAATGTGATTATGATGTGAAGGATGAAGCTGATTAGCATTGGACTCACAGTAAAAAGGTTGCAGGCTTGACTTCCAGCTGGGACCTTTTGATGTGGTGTTTGTGTGTTCTCCTGATGCATGTGTGAGTTGTCTCTGTACTCAGCATTCCTTTAACCATCCACAAACTTACATGTTAAAATGTCTCATCTAAATTAGCCTTCTGTGTGAAGGTCACTCTGACCATTTTATTTAATATGGTATATTTTAAAAGAGATTACCATTCTTATGAAGACTGTTGGTTCTTCAAATGAGCTGATCCCACCTTGTCTTCTTAAAATGTTTCTTTCCACCTTGTGCGCTTAATTTTATAAATGGCAGCTTGACAAATCAACATTTACCTGAGAGTTTTCAACATGCAGTGGTGACTCCACTATTTAAAAAAACTGTCCGGACTCCTTCTTCTTTTTCTTCTTCTTTTTTCAGCTTTTTCCATTTTGGGGGTTGACACAGCGAGTCATCCTCCTCCATGTCCCTCTGTCCTCTGCGTCCTCTGTCCTCACACCACCTGCTTCCATGTCCTCTAACTGTGTCCATATATCTCCTCTTTGACCTTGCTCTTTGTCTTTTTCTCGGCAGCTTGATTTTGAACATCACTGTACATATACCTGCTGTGCCTCCTCTGGACATGGACTCCACTGTATTTCAAACTTTTACACCAATCTCAAAGTTTCTTTCCTGTCAAAGAGCTTGAAAAAATTGTTTACAGGTAGTTGACTTTGTGCTTAAATGAGCATGACCAACTAAAGGCATTTTTAGTCTGGTTTGTACCAAGCCGCAGGACTGAGTTGGCGTTGCTGAAGATTTTTAACAATGTTCTTTTAGCTACAGACTCTGATCACTGTGTTGTTTTGATGCTGTTGAACCTAACAATTTTCTTCTGCACAGAGGACCATCAGGATGCTTCTCTAGATTGCTTTAGTTCCTGTTTACCAAAGGGAAGTTTCTGTGATTGAGTTAGAGTCATTGAGCCCTCTGTAGTGCCCCAGACATGAGGTGTGCCTCAGGGCTTTATACTTAGTCCTCTTCTCTTCTCCCTGCACTTACCGGTACTTCTTCTTGGATCTTATTCTTTGAAAACATGGTATCTCTTTCCATTTTTACATCAATTACAGTCAAATCTATATGCAACTAAAACACAAAATTAATAATCTGTGCACCAAATCTTGGAATTTTCATGCATATATTGTTCACGTTCTGTTTTTAAACCCTTTCCTAAAAGACATTATTTTTATTTTTGGGTAACTCAGTTTTATATATTA